TGTGGTGAGTGAATGGCTTCGTCCCCCTCTCCCCGTCCCTCTGCTCCCACCGCTACACCATGTTAGAAAGTAGGAATGAATGATGCCTAGAATGACAGCAGTACAGGGTTTGTTTATCAAAACCTAATTGGGCTGTACCCCATAAGGAGTGCCCCACTACAGCCTAGAGTATATAAATGCATACACCCCTCACCCCCATAGGCAAAGTGGGGGACAAGCAAGAGAATGAAGCAAGGTCAAGCTCAGGATCTTGTAACGTCAGGACCTTACAAGAAAATGGCCACAAGGCCAGTTCACATGCAGAATCATACATAAAGAAGAACAAGCAGTACAGTTATAACAACCTAGCAAGTGTAAGCATGCAGGTATAACTATATAGATCACTGTACAAGCAAAGTCAACAAGTGAGCAAGGGAGGCCAAGTAGGCACAAGGCCTAGAACAGTACAGAAACGCTGATGATCACAAGGCTGAAGTGCCTTGGTGAAGATATCAGCAGTGTTGGCCCGAGAGGCCACGTAAACAAGACGAAGCTGACCAAGCTGCTGCAACTCTCAAGCAAGGAAGTAGCGCAGAGCGATGTGCTTTGTTCTGTGCTCCAGTCTGTGCTCCTAACACAAGGCGATCATGGCCTTGTTGTCGACGTACAGAACTGGAGGAGAACGAGGCACCTCTCCCAAGTCGGTCAGCAGGTAGGTGAGCTAGCGTAACCCCTGTGCAGCCATGGCCCGTGCGTACATCTCAGCCTCGCAACTAGAGCTGAGAACAGAAGACGAGCAGGTAGACCGCCACAAAACAGAACCGGAGCCAAGGCTGGAGGTGTAACCCTGTGACAACCACTGCGTAGCCAAGTCGTCAACCCAAGAAGCGTCAGCGTGAACAGTGAGGACAACTCGAGCCCGTCCTCCAAGCACGAGCCCCATGCCCGACGTACTGCACAAGTAGCGCATCACGGCCTTCCAGTGCTCTGGTCGGTGTCTCCCGGGCGCAACGTAGCGTGCCAGGATGCTAAGAGGGTAAGCAAGGTCAGGTCAAGTGCAGGTCATCAGGTACATGAGGCAGCCGAAAAGCTCTGGATACAGGCCACTCGGCTCTATGGACTCATCCGAAGGCAGAGCTGAGAGCGAGTGACTGGTAGGCAGAGGAGTGGACTGTGGCGAGGAGTACTGGAAGTCGAAGCGCTGAAGGACATGCTGCACCATGTGTGACTGAGTCAAGGTAATGGTGCGCCGTGCTCTGTCGCGGGTGATCTGCAAGCCAAGATAGCTGCGCAGCTCACCCAGGTCTGTGCATGTGTGTCTCTTCTGCAGCTCCGACTTCATGTGGGCGAGTCCAGCAGTGTGAGCAGTTGCAAAGACCAAGTCGTTGACGTACACGGGGATGTAGAACGGCGGCAACGAAATGTCGGTGCGTAGAAACAGCGACGGGTCAACAGTAGAAGGAGCAAACCCAAGAGCCGCAAGTGTCATCCTCAGTGTGTCGTGCCACTTGCGAGGCGCCTGGCGGAGATCGTAGACTGGCCGCCGGAGGCTCCACTGGGTACCTACAGGAAACGACCCAGTGAAGCCAGGTGGGTGGTGCAGCCAGATCTCGTGCAGGCTGCCCTGTAGGAAAGCAGTGCTGAAGTCAAGAGAGTGAAGCTCGTAGTCATGCTGAGCAGCGATGTGCAGCAGAACCCGAAGAGTGGTCATATTTGGGGTAGGGGAGAAGGTCTAGAAGAAGTCAACTCCCTGTCGCTGACTGAAGCCTCGTGCAACGTAACGCGCCTTGAAGAATGGGGGAGAATCCGGCGGGTGCTTCACTCTGAAAATCCACATGCCACTGACGATGTTCGCCCCAGGTGGGGGAATTGCGTCAACGTAAGTGCCTGTGGACTTCCAGGATGCCATCTCTGCGTCCATGGCTGACTCCCACTGAGAGGAGTAGGCACTCTCTTTCGCCTCTGCGTAAGAGCGCGGGGTCGGGATGTCTGGTGCATCCGAGTCTCCCTCAGGGGCAATCAGCATGGACACAAGATGAGGTACATCAATTGCAAAACTTTCAAAGTCCTCCTGCCTGTCCTCAAGGACGTCTGTGCCAAGAGCACACTCACCCCCGACGGACGGAGGACAGACAGAATCAGACTCAGCAACAAGACTAGCGGCGTAGTCTACACGACACGCGGCAGCAAAGCCAACCAACTCAGCAACAAGAGCAGACACATTAGTAGACGCAAACGAAGGGTCAGTGATAACAGTAGCCAGGAGACGCGTGACAGTAGGACTAGCAGCATGAAGGGAGTCAGACTCTGGTTCCGGACCGTCAGGAAGGGAGGATGCAAGAGGAGAGAGCAGAGGGACACGCAGTGGAACAGAGGAAGGACGAAGTGCCATCTGGTGCGTGCCGGGGACAGGAGGAGGACGTTGACGTGGAACACCAGTGCGGAACACTTAATGGGAGTGGAGTGTTAGCCCCGGCCTCGCTTGGGCAACACGGACGAATTTGTCGGGTGTACAGGAGTAGCAGCCGACCCTTCACAGTGGGAAAGCTGCTCGACAGGCTTCGCTGAGTTTCAGGGGACTGTTGTGGTGTTGCTGTCGACCAGGGAGCTCGACAGCTGCAACTGATTGGCCTGGGCAACAGGTGGGCCGTTGACCAGGAGGGGCAAGTACGACCGGAAGGTCGATGGAGCGGTCCGTCGACCTGCAGCTCGACCGGGAGCAGTCTCTCGACCTGTCGGAAAACTCATCATCTGTAGCATCCCATGGCTTGCCTTCTCCTTCTTGCACTCACCCTCCCTCCCTTCTTCTTCCAAACTCTCTTCCTATGATACCTTACCTGCTCTGCCTCAGCCACTACCTGCCCCCTCCAGAGATCATGCTTGGGTCTCCCGTGCACGTGTCAGTGGACACTCTTGCTGAGGCCGGGTGCTTCTCACCACTGCAGCATCCGTCAGGCGGTTCCCCGTCCACACTCTTCTCTGATTCCTTCACACCAGCACTCATGGACCCCTCAGGTCCTGTGTCTCCCTTCTCTGTGTGTCCAGTGCCACTTCCAGCGTGGCCCTTTCTGCACGTATGCTCCCTGTCCCATGCCACCCAGTTCTCAGCCGCTCTCATTCTTGCTGGTTCTGTCATCACCTGTGTTGCTGGCTCCATCGACTCATCTTCCCATGTCTCTCCCTTAATCCCCTTTACTGTCTTCATGGCCTCTTGTTCTTTCTTACTCATCGCGACTCGTACTGTATCTTCCTGTCCTTCTCCTTCTGTCAGGCAATCCCATGCCCCCTCTTCTGTTGGCAGGTCCCCCTTCTGCAGTGCTGGCGCGGCTCCTCTACGCAACGCTGGCAGGCGGTCGACCGAGTTGTGCTGGCGGTCGACCAGGCTAGCTGCAGGGTTGCTAGGTGCCTGATGTAGTCATTCTGTCATTGTGTGTTCAACCATTCTATAATTCCAACTTTGTTAGTAGAAACTCTTGCCGATTTCTCCCGTGAATGCACAAGCACTAAGGAACTAAGCAAAGCTACGATCACTCCTAGTAGTTCGTGCCAACCCCCGTAGCCTAGCTCACTGCCATTGTAGAGTGACTCTCCGCATCAGGGAGATGGGTGACGAGGTAGAAGAGGGTGATGTACATGGGGGGGGAAGGGGGGGTTCTTGGCGCAAAACTCGGAGGGAAGCGCAGCGCAGTAGTGGGTGTCACTAGTGTGGAGGTGGGCGATGAGGTCAGCGACTGTGGCAAAGGCAGCCAGGTCAAGGAACAAGTACGACAACATGAGGCGGCTAAGGGCAGCAGTGGCAGGGGAGGAGTAGCGCGCAACGACAGCGTCATACAGAGACTTAGCAGTCTTGTACTGGCCAAAGTGCGCGTGCTCAACAGACGGCATGTGACTACGAACAACAAGGTGAGCAACAACATCACGAGTAGTCCCGTACTATCAGCAATGGTATCAGGTGCAACAGAGGCACCGGATGTGTGATCGAACAGCGAGACTCCGTCCCTAGAGTCGCACTGAAGATAGAGTTGCAGGTCATCTACCCAAACGTCGAAATCTACTGCACGACCCTCAGCATCGAAGGTAAGAACAATAGGGCTAGCCATGGCAGCAGTAGCAGCAGGAGGAGCAGTAGCAACACAGTAGGGCAGGGTGGCACGGTCCAGCAGAGCGGCGCGGCTCGGCAGGGCGGCGCGGTAGGGCAGGGCAACAACAGGGCGGCTGCAGGGCAGGGCCGCGACGAGGCAGCGGCAGAGCAGGGCCGCAACGGGGCGGCAGCAGGGCAGGGCCACGACAAGGCGGCTGCAGGGGAGGGCCGCGTCGGGGCGGCGGTAGAGCAGGGCTGCAACCAGGCAGCTGCAGGGCAGGGCCGCGACGGGGCGGCGGTAGAGCAGGGCCGCAACGAGTGGCTGAGGGCAGGGCCGCGACGAGTGGCGGCAGGGCAGGGCCGCGACGGGCGGCGAGGTCAGGCTGTGACGGGCGGCTAGGTCAGGCCGCGATGGGCGGCGACAGGGCAGGGCCACAACGGGCGGCTAGGTCAGGGTCGTGACGGGCCGTTAGGGCAGGGCCGCGACGGGCCGGGAGGGCAGGACCGCTACGGGCGGCAGTAGGGCAGGGCGCACGACGACGTAGGTGAGGCAAGCGCGAGGCACGCTTCGCGCGGGGCAAGAAAAAAAACTATCGTGGTGGGCCCTAAAAGAACATTCCCACTAGGGAACCTGCTCTGATACCATGTCAAAAAGTAGGAATGAATGATGACTAGAATGACAGCAGTACAGGGTTTGTATAGCAAAATCTAATTGGGTTGTACCCCATAAGGAGTGCCCCACTACAGCATAGAGCATATAAATGCATAGTTCTGACACACCGCTCTCCACCACTGCATACCTGGTGGACACGCTGATGTTGTGCTCTCCCATGGTGGACACTGGAGGAGCAGAGGGCTCCACTACTCAGCTTGTGCCACGCCCATGTATGCTAGAAGGGAATGGAGAGATGCATGTGGTGAGGGAATGAGTAGCTTGTGCATGCATGGTGTGAAATGCCCTCTCTTTGCACTGAAGGATAGACAACCAGACACAGACGTTGGTGCTGCTGCTCCTCTTGTGCCGCGTCCATGTGCACTAGATGGCAATGGGGAGATGCATGTGTTGAGTGGGTTGCTCCGTGTGGCTTCGTCCCTCTCTCCTTCCCCCTCTTTGATGACTCACTGGGCCTATCTCTGCATTCACTCCTTCCTTTCTCCTTTCCCTCCCACTCTCCTCCCCTCCCCTCCTTACCTCCCTGCCCTCATCCCTCCCAGATCTCGGTGAAGTTCCCAGCAGTGGCGCGCATAGGGGCGCTCAGAATCGCCCTGCCCACTGACCTGCGCCCCAAGGAGGCCCGGCATGCCGTGCTGGTCACAGTCAGAGACGTCACCCAATAGTTCCCCGATGGCCTGCCCATTCTGGACCCTGTAGAGGTGAGTGAAATTATGGGAGGGAAGGAGGGAGGAAGGCCAAAAGAGGCCCGCCCTGCCAGGCTGCGCTGGTCACAATCAGAGACGTCATCCCGCGCTTCCTTGACGAACTGTCTATCCTAGACCCTGTTGAAATGAGCTGATGGTGTCAGTGGGTGCGGTAGTAGGCTAGTTGAGTCACACGCTAAGTCAAGCACAGGCCCGCCAGGCTGTGTTGGTCACACTCAGAGACGTCACCCAACGCTTCCCTGAAGAACTGTTTATCCTAGACCCTGTGGAAGTGAGTTATGGAGGGAGGAAGGAAGGAAGAGATAAAATGTGTGGGCTACTTGATTTGAGGCATCTTCAACCCAAGGAGGAGGCAAGGCAGGCTATGCTCTTCACACTCAGAGACGTCACCCAGCAGTTCAAGAGCTGGTTGACGTCTCTGAACCACTGCTGAGACGTCCTAGGAAGGGCTGCCAATCCTTGACCCTGTATAGGCGAGTGAGTGAGTGAATTACTGGGTGCGCTGTTAAGACTTCTTGAGTTTGCCTCCATCCGTCTCCAAGTGTGTGTACCTGCTATCAGGACATGGGCATTCGGACGAGAATTTGAGGCGGACGAGTCGTTTTTGGACATGGGCATCATGGACGAGTCGTTTTTTTACATGGGCATCATGGACGAGTCTTTTGGACATGGGCATCATGGACGAGTCGTTTTTGGACATGGGCATCATGGACGAGTCGTTTTCGGACATGGGCATCATGGACGAGTCATTAAGAATTCTCGAATTCGTCTCCATCCGTCTCCAAGTGGGTGTGCCCCTTCGCCATCTCTCCCGCTCTCAGGGCATGGGCATCACAGATGAGTCATTTTTGGACCTTGTGCATTTCATTGATGAGGAGGAGAGCAAGCTGGCCAAACATCCTCTTTGAGTCCTCTCCTCTCTACCCTTTCCAAGGTGATTAAGTAGCTGGTCAAGTAGCCAAGCCAAGCATACCCCTTTCACTAATTGAATGGCGTTGCTCATGCCCCCATCCGCTATGGCACCTGCACATGCGAAACCCCGACTCCATTTCTTTTTATGTACGTTCGGGCGTGGGCTTAGATTTTCCCTCCCGTTAATGCCTGCATTGCACAGTGCACATCCCGTTCCACCCACCCCCTTCCTCCTCGAGCAGCTTCCCATGTAGCTTGAACGACCCCTGAACACCCCCTTTCCCCCTTCTTCTCGCTCCCTTCTTTCTACCCTTCCAGGCGGAGATAGCGGAGCAAAAGCTGGAGGTGCTCAAGAGGCGAGGGCAGTTGCACGTGCAGGTTCAGGGTTAAGGGTTTGTGCTCAAGGGTTTACTTGCCCTTCCCCCCCTCTCCCCCTCATTCTCCTTCCAGGCGGACCGGGCGGAGATAGCGGAGCAAAAGCTGGAGGTGCTCAAGAGGCGAGGGGAGCTGCTGGCCGTTCAGCCTCGGTCACACCTATTACATCCTTGGCCCCTCCATTCTCTCCCTCCCACTCCCCATCCACCAATCCCTACCCAGGCGGAGATAGCGGAGCAAAAGCTAGAGGTGCTCAATTGGCGAGGGCAGCTGCTGGCCGTTGAGCCTGAGTCACACCTATTACTTGCTTGGTTCCCCCATTCTCGCCCTCCCACTCCCCTTCCACCAATCCTTACCAAGGCTCGGATAGAAGAGCAGAAGTTGGAGGTGCTTGTGAGAGTATGACGGCTTATGCTGGCTTTGCTAGCTTGCTTGAACTTTATTATGCTATTACTAGCTTGGGTTTTATTTATCATGCATAGTTATGTCTGATTTCCTAGGTTAGGTGCATTCTTATATGTTATTATAGTTATAACACCAAATCAGGTTACGTAAACTGAACTCAAGCCTTTTCGGTTGCCACCGAATTGCTTTCTACAAAGTTCGGGAAGGTTCTGTTCGGGACGCTTCGCGACCCTCGTAACATTCGTGTAACACATGGGTTATTGGCTTTGTGTCGAAACTATATATAGCCTTGTGTTGTACCCAGGTGGATCATTCAATTCGAACTCTCTATTTTGAGCTCGATCCTAGATCCTTACAGTGCTCAAGAGGCGAGGGCTGGCAGGCTCAAGATGACGACGAGGGAGTCACAGGTGCGTGTGGAGGAGTGATGTGTGTTGGGGAGGTTTGTGATGCTGTGGGAACGTTTGTAATGCTCTGCCTGTGGGGGGGCTTGTAATGCGCTTCCTGTGGGGAGGCATGTGGAGCAGATTTGCATACTATGTGAGCAAGCTACTCCCCAAAACCGTTTGTGTGCGGCATTCACCTCCTCTCTCATCCAATGCTGCACCCTTCCCTTCACCTTTCCACTTCGTTTTTTCCCCTCTCTTTTCTTTCTCCTAATTCCTCCCATCTACCCCCAGCTCCCTCTCTCTCTTCAAGTCCGAGCCAGGTACCGCTGGCGCGTAATCAAACAACTGGGGCCCATTGATGCAAACGTGGTGGTGCAGCTGAAGGGTGCTCACCCCCCCCCATGGTCTACCCACCCTTCCCGACCTCCCCCTAGGTCTCTCGGCTCAAATCCAAGCTGAGAAACCGCTCACAGATGCTCAAACGACTGCAAGTCGAGTGCCAGCTACGACTGCTGACAGCGGGGAGGGGGGAATGGAGATGTGTGGCACCATAGGGAGTGCGGGCGGAGTACATGAGGGAGGTGAATTGGTGAGGGTGTTTGAACTCGGTTCTCCTCTAGCATCCTTTGCCGGTTCTCGTGCAGCTGCTGTTACTCATGCTGGGGTTGCATCTCAAGGTGGTTACAATGTGACTACGGCAGAAGAGGAAGAGCAACTTGCTGCTCCTGGCAGCAAGAGGTGGTGCTGCCGCTTCAGGAGCAGCAAGTTGCTCTTCCTCTATTGTCGTGGTCACATTGTAACCACCTTCAGATGCAACCCCAGCAGGAGTAACAGCAGCTGCAGCACGAGAACTGGCAGAGGATGCTAGAGGAGAACCGAGTTCGAGCACCCTCACCAGTTCACCTCCCTCATGTACTCCGCCCACACTCCCTATGGTGCCACACACCTCCATTCCCCCCTCCCCGCTGTTAGATGTCATAGCTGGCACTCGGCTTGCGCACCCCGCCTTCTCAAAATCAGAAATCGACTCAAACGGGGTGTTGCATCTGAAGGGGTACTTGTGAAGTAAAGAAAACAGGAATGAAATGACTAAGGAAAGATTGGGTACAAATACAACCCTAGAAAACCTGTACCCCATATGTGCTACCCCACTATAGCCTACAACAACTATGTCATATAAATCTGACACACCCCCATAGGCAAAGTGGGGGAGAACAAGGGGTCACAAGACCAGTCAAGCAAAGCAAAGCAAGCTCAGGGTGGATCACAAAGTCACCACACAGTCCGAGCACAAGAGTAGGGCCAGAGGCCAGTTCACATGCAGGAGTACAGACATATATATAAAACTAGACAAGCAAGAGCAGGCATATATATATGTCACAGTACAAGTGAAGTCAAGAGGAGAGCAAGTGAGGCAAGACAGGCACAAGACCCAGCTGGGTGCAAAAGCGCTGATGGTCACAAGGCGCGAGTGCCTTGGTGAACACATCAGCAGTGTTGGCCTCAGAGGCCACGTACGCAAGTCGCAACTGACCACGCTGCTGCAGCTCACGAGCAAGGAAGTAGTGGAGAGCAATGTGCTTCGTTCTGTGCTCCAAGCGCTGCTCTCGACACAAGGCCAGCATGGCCTTGTTGTCTACGTACAGCACTGGAGGAGAACGAGGCGGCTCTCCAAGGTCAGTCAGCAGGTAGGTGAGCCAGCGAAGCTCCTGTGCAGCCATGGCCCCGGCGTAGATCTCAGCCTCACAACTGGAGCCGAGAACCGAAGACGAGCGAGTAGACCGCCACGAGACAGAGCCGGAACCAAGGCTGAAGGTGTAACCCTGTGACGACCGCTGCGTAGCCTGGTCGTCAGCCCAAGAAGCGTCCGCGTGGCCGGTAAGGACCACTGGACTCCGCCCTCCAAGCACTAGCCCCATGCCCGACGTACTGCACAGGTAGCGCAATACCCTCTTCGCTGCAGCCATGTGCTCCGGTCTGTGTCTCCCAGGAGCAACATAGCGTGCAAGAATGCTCAGAGGGTATGCAAGGTCAGGTCGTGTGCAGGTCATCAGGTACATGAGGCAGCCAACAAGCTCTGCATACGGACCACTCGACTCTACGGACTCATCCGAAGGCAGAGCTGAGAGTGAGTGGCGAGTAGGCAGAGGAGTGGCCTGAGGCGAGGAGTACGTGAAGCCGAAGCGCTGAAGGACCTGCTGCACCATGTGTGACTGAGTCAAGGTAATGGTGCGGCGTGCTCTGTCCCGAGTGATCTGCAAGCCAAGGTAGCTGCGCAGTTCACCCAGGTCTGTGCACGTGTGTCTCTTCAGCAGCTCGGACTTCACGTAGGCGAGTCCAGCAGTGTCCGCTGTGGCAAAGACCAAGTCGTCGACGTACACGAGGATGTAGAACGGTGGCAGGGAAGTGTCGGTGCGAAGAAACAGCGACGGGTCAGCAGTAGAAGGAGCAAACCCAAGAGCCGCAAGCGTAGTCCTCAGTGTGTCGTGCCACTCACGCGGTGCCTGGCGGAGACCGTAGACTGGCCGTCGGAGGCTCCACTGGGTGCCAGGAGGGAAAGTCCCAGTGAAGCCAGGTGGACGGCGGAGCCAGATCTCCTCGTGCAGGCTACCCTGCAAGAACGCAGTACTGAAGTCGAGAGAGTGAAGCTCGTAGTCGCGCTGAGCGGCTATGTGCAGTAGAACCCGAAGAGTAGACATCTTCGGGGTGGGAGAGAAGGTCTGAAAGTAGTCAACTCCCTGCCGCTGACTGAAGCCACGAGCAACGTACCGTGCCTTGAAGACAGGTGGAGAGCCCGGCGGCCGCTTCACCCTGAAGATCCACATGCCACTGACGATGTTCGCCCCAGGAGGGGGAACCGCGTCAACGTAGGTGCCTGTGGACTTCCAGGAAGCCATCTCTGCATCCATAGCTGCCTGCCACTGAGAGGAGTAGGGACACTCTACGGCCTCCGCGTAAGAACGCGGAGTCGGGATGTCTAGTGCATCCGGGTCTCCCTCAGGGGCAAGCAGTACAGACGCGAGATGAGGTGAAGCAGCCGCTAGACACTGTAACTCCTCCTGCCTGTCCTCTAGGACGTCCGTGCCAAGAGCACACTCACCCCCGACGGACGGAGGACAGACAGACGCAGACTCAGCAACAAGACTAGCAGCGTAGTCGAGACGACAGCGAGCAGCAAGGTCGACGAGCTCAGCGACTAGAGCAGACGCAGCAGTGGACTCAAAAGAGGGGTCAGTGACGACAGTAGCAAGCAGACGCGTGACAGTAGGACTGGCAGCACGAAGAGAGTCCGACTCAGGGTCGGCAAGCGCAGGAAGAGAGGACTCAGGAGGAGAAGGCAAAGGGGCACGCAGAGGAGCAGTGGACGGACGTAAAGACATCCGGTGCGTGCCAGGGACAGGAGGAGGACGCTGACGCGAACTGCGACCACTAGCGCGAGCAGCACGAACAGGCGACGCGGGACGAGACGCAGGCTCACGACGCTCAGCAAGACCTCCAGTAGGACCAGTGTAAGGAGAGGGAGCAGGCAGTGGAGAGGAAGGCTCCAGCAGGGACTGCGACTGGACAGGCGGTGGACCCTCTACTGGAGGAGAAAGACCAAGAACCTGCTGCAGGAGCGGAACGAAGTACGGCCGAGGCCGCGCGGCAGCTCCAGACTCAGCAGGGACAGCACCACCACCCTCAGCGACAGCACCAGCGCCACCCACACCTCCAGCGGCAGGACCAACAGCAGTAGGCTCAGCACCAACGCCCTCAGCAGCTCCAGCTCCAGGAGGACCCGCAGGTCCAGCAGCTCCGGGACCGGCAGCACCCGCACCCTCGACGGTCGAAGAAGCTCCAGCCCCAGCTCCAGCAGCACCTCCAGACTCAGCAGCACGCCTCCAGCGGCGAGCGAACCACTCGCGCAGCTCCTGTGGAGAGAGGGGCTCCCGGCGAGACGCAGCAGCAGGAGAAACCCCAGGCTCAGCAGCTCCAGACGCAGCACCCCCAGGCGCAGCAGCTCCCAGCTCAGCACCCCCAGGCTCAGCAGCTCCCGACCCAGCACCCCCAGACCCAGCACCTCCAGGAACAGCACCCCCCGGCTCAGCACCCCCAGGCTCCGCACCCTCCGCAGTAGCACCCTCAGGCCCAGCACCCCCAGCAGTAGCACCCCCAGGCTCAGCACCCCCGCGCACAGCACCCCCAGAGTCAGCACCCCCAGGCTCAGCACCCGCAGCAGCACCAGAGTCACCAGTAACCTCGACCGGGTCAACGGCGTCTACCTGGGACACACCTGAGGGGGCAGGAACCTGAGGGGGGAGGGGGTCTACCGGGGGGGGAACCGGCACAAGGAAGTCCGGGGGAGGGGGGAGGGAAGGAGTGCGGTAGGGGAAGAGACGGTAGAAGGGGACTGACTCGTCGAACGTGACGTCCTGGGAGGACAGAACACGACGAGAGGAGGGGTGGTAAAACTGCCACCCTGGGGCGTCAGTGGGGAAGCCAAGGAAGACACAGGGAGCAGCGCGAGGGGACAGCTTGTCCGCAGACAAGTCGCGGACAAACGCCCGAGATCCCCAGACACGGAACACAGACGCATCGCCAACCTTCCCCGTCCACAGCAAGGCTGGGGACATCGCAGGCCGAGAGACCCGGGGGTGAAGGTTGAGCTGATGCGCCGCGTACCTCACCGCAAACGGCCACAGAAAATGGGGGGCAGCCGCATGCATCATGGACGTACGAGCGACATCCATGACCATGCCAATGCGGCGCTCAGCAATCCCATTTTGCTGTGGTGAGTCCGGAAGCGTGAAGGTCTGGCGGATCCCCCGTGCACGACAGTAGTCTCGCAGAAGGCGAGAAGAGAACTCTCCGCCTCGGTCAGAGTGCAGACGCAGAACAGGAAAGTCCGAGCCGAAGCTCTTCCTGAGCTGGAGACGAGCCTCGCGGATCCACTCGATCAGCACCTCAGTGACCGCACCCTTGCTGCGCAAGGGGAGGACTGTGGTGTAACGCGAGTAGTCGTCAACCACCAACTGGAAGTAGCGCTCGTAACCCTGCCCACGGACGGGGGCTGGGCCCCACACATCCATGTGAAGCGTCTGCAGGGGAGCCTCTGTCGGGGGGAAGTGGGAGGAGTGAGGAGTAGCCCGGAGGCGACCCTCGACACAGGGGACACAGGAAGGTCCTGGCCCGGAGGGGAGAGGAGGGAGAGACTGGGGAAGACCAGAGACAAGGACACGGGAAGCCATGCTCCGAAGACGGGGCAAGGAGGGGTGGCCAAGACGGTGGTGCCACAGGAGAGTCTCGTGAGACAGGAGGCGACAAGAACAGGGGGCAGACTCAGGACCTGACCGGGACGCAGCAGCAAGTACCTGACCCGACGCAGCCACCTGACCAGACGCAGGGACAGGAGGAGACTCAACGGTCAGGGTGTAGAGACTCGACCCCGGCCGACGCGAGAACGTGGCCAGGTGTCGGCCTGTGCGTGCCTCCGTGCAGTGGGTCACCCGCTGACTCGCAGGAGTGAACTGGTGAACACCCCCATCCTGCAGGTCTGCTCCACTCACCAAGTTCGTAGAGAACGAGGGAAGGTACAGACCCGACAGGGTGCCCGAAGGGGCAGCCGGACACGGGAGGACAGTGGAGAAGTGAGACAGGACAGGACCCCCAGAGGGGTCAGCAAGGGAGACCGCAACCGGCCGGCCAAGCGGTGTAAGGGTAGTGCGGTCTCGAAAGAAGGAGCGAGAAGCTCCGGAGTCAAGTGTGAAAGTGAGGGAGGACGAGGACGACTCAGTACCTGAGAGCGCAGTCTCACCAGTACCTGAGAGCGCAGACGCACTGGCACCTAGAGCAGCAGCCTCACAAGCACCTAGCGCAGCAGGACCAATGCCCGGGTCGGGCTGGAAACAGCGGTAACCCTCATTCTCCTCACTATAATCCACAACATACATAGCAGTAAGGATAGCATCAAAATCAAGATCAAAGATTGCTACACCAGCCCTGAGAAGCTCATCCCAGCGAGGGATCTCACTAGCCCCAGGGAACTGCTGACGCCAGGCGTCCGTCAGGCGGCCAAAGCAGCGCTGGGTCGCGTGGGCACCCCCACACTGCTCACCCGCGCGGTCGTCGGAACGAAGAACGTAGGTGCAGGGACCAGTACCCCCACCCCTCTGACGCCCAGCGTACCACTCACGAAGCTGCTGAGGCGAAGGGATGTCCCGAGAGCGCTGCTGCTGCTGCCGCTGCGAGCGCTGGCCACCACCACCGCCGCTACGCTGCTGGGTACCACCCCGACCAGATCCACCCCCTCCACCACCACTGCCTCCTCCGCTGCCGCCTCCACCGCCTCCACCTCCGCCGCCTCCACCTCCGCCGCTGCCTCCACCACCACCGCTGGCACCACCACCACCGTCTCCGCCGCTGCTGCCACCACCACCACCACCCCCGCCACTAGCCCCGCCGCCACCCCCACTCCCTCCGCCGCCACCGCCGCCACCGCCACCGCCCCCTCCAGCTCCACCCGCGCCCTTGCCCCCCTTGCCCTTGCTGGAGCGACGTCTCCCACTAGGGGCAGACGCCGCGCCGACCGACTCTAGACCAAGCAGGTCGGCAGCAGCAGCAGAGGCAACAGAGGGCAGCAAGGGGGAAGGAGAGCACCCCTCAAAGATGGGGGTGCGAGGGTCACCACGAGAAGCACCTACAGCGACGATGCTCTTCTCCGCTGCGAGGAGGGCCTTCTCGAGGAGGTCGACGGAGAGGGTGGTGGGACAGACTGCGAGAAAGTGGTCCCTGACGACTCGAAGGGAGTCAGGGAGGCGCGCGACTACGTAGTAGAGAGCGATGTACATGGGGGGGGGGTTCTTAGCGCAGAACTCAGCAGGAAGGGCGGCGCGGTAGCGAGTGTCACTAGTGCGGAGGTGCGTAATGAGGTCAGCGACAGTGGGAAAGGCAGAGAGGTCAGGAAAGAGGTGGGGAAGCATGAGACGGCTCAGTGCAGCAGTGGCAGGGGAGGAGTAGCGCGCAACTACAGCGTCGTACAAGGTCTGAGCACTCTTGTACTGACTGAAGTGCGCACGCTCAGAGGTAGGGAGGTGGCGACGCACAGCAAGACGTGCAGCAGCATCGCGGGTGGCCCACTTAGAGCGGACAGCGGGCTCAGCATCAGCAGCAGGAGCAGGAGAGGCGCCAGAGGTGAGATCAAAGAGAGAAAGGTCGTCAGCCCTGTCGCACTGTAAGAACAGCTGCAGGTCGTCTAACCAGACCTCAAAATCAATGGCGCGACCCTCAGCGTCAAAAGCTAGGACACTAGGGGTAGCCATGGCGACGACAGCGACGCAGTGCTAGCAGCAGGGAAAGAGCTCGCAGTGTCAGTGGGACTGTGCTCACCAGGCAGGGTAGGTCGTGTAGGTATGCAGAAAGGCGGCTCGGGTGCTGGGCGGCTCGGCTGCTGGGCGGCTCGGGCGCAGGGCGGCTCGGCTCCCGGGCGGCTCGGCGGCAGGGCGGCTCGGGTCCCGGGCGGCTCGGCGTCGGGCGGCTCGGCTCACGGGCGGTTCGGCTGCTGAGGCGGCTCGGCCAGGAGATGCAGGGGCGGGGCCGTCAGGTGCAGCGGCGGGTTGACCGGTGCAGTGGCGGGCCGGCAGGTGCAGAGGCGGGCCGGCAGGTGCAGTGGCGGGCCGGCAGGTGCAGCGACGGGCCGTAGGGTGCAGTGGCGGGCCGTAGGGTGCAGCGGCGGGCCGGCAGGTGCAGCAGCGAGGCCGGCAGGTGCAGCGGCGAGGCCGGCAGGTGCAGCGGCGAGGCCGGCAGGTGCAGTGGCGGGCCGGCAGGTGCAGCGGCGGGCCGTAGGGTGCAGTGGCGGGCCGGCAGGTGCACCGGCAGGCCGGCAGGTGCAGTGGCGGGCCGGCAGGAGAGGCGGCAGGGCCGCGTCAGGGGAGGCGGCGAGGCCGCGTCAGGGGAGGCGGCGGAGCCGCGTCAGGGTAGGCGGCGAGGCCGCGTCAAACAGGCGGCGGGGCCGCGATCAGGAGAGGTGGCGGGGCCGCGTCTGAGGGACAGCGGGGCCGCGAGGGAAAAGGCGACCCGAGGGGGTCGCTAAAAAAAAGGCGCGCCTCGGGGCGCGCTTCGGTGGGCCCTAAAAAAAACGGTCCTAAGCTAGGACCCGCTCTATACCATGTGAAGTAAAGAAAACAGGAATGAAATGACTAAGGAAAGATTGGGTACAAATACAACCCTAGAAAACCTGTACCCCATATGTGCTACCCCACTATAGCCTACAGCAACTATGTCATATAAATCTGACAGTACTCACTCATCTTCTCTCCCCCCATGCTTCACCCTTCTCTCCACTTTTTCCTGACTTCGTTTCTTTCCCCACCTCTCTTACCCCGCAGCTCTCTCTCTCTTCAAGTACAAGCTCCGAAATCGTTCCAGTGTCCTCAAGCGATCGGGCCACATCGATGCAGACGGGGTGGTGCAGCTCAAGGGTCACTCACCCCTCCTCCCCCCTTCCCTTCCCAAACTTCTTTACTTATGCTCCAACCTTCCTTCCCATCTCTCCTATCTAGCTCTCGCTCTTCAAATCCGAGCTGAAAAACTGTTCACGAGTGCTCAAGCGTTTGGGCCACAACGAATCCGATGGGCTGGTGCAGCTTAAGGGTCGGAGAGCGTGTCTCATGCCCTCATAGGTGCTCAATCTTCCTCTCCTGCCTCTCCCTATTCCCCAGCTCTCACTCTTCAAATCCGAGCTCCGAAATTGTTCAAGGGTGCTGAAACGCCTTGGCCACATTGATGCATACGGGGTGGTGCAGCTGAGGGCTGGGCGGCGTGTGTCGTCATGACAGGCAAAGAGCTAGTGGTGGTGGGGTTTATGGCAGGCAGCGAGCTGGTGGTGGTGGGGTTTATGGCAAGCAGCGAGCTGGTGGTGTTGGGGTTTATGGCAGGCAGCAAGCTGGTGGTGGTGGGGTTTATGGCAGGCAACGAGCTGGTGGTGGTGGGGTTTATGGCAGGCAGCGAGCTGGCGGTGGTGGGGTTTATGGCAGGCAGCGAGCTAGTGGTGGTGGGGTTTATGGCAGGCAGCGAGTTGGTGGTGGTGGGGTTTATGGCAGGCAGCAAGCTGATGATGGTGAGGTTTATGGCAGGCAGCGAGCTGGTGGTGGTGGGGTTTATGGCAGGCAGCGAGCTGGTGGTGGCGGGGTTTATGATTGAAGGGGCACTCTCTCACCTCCCCTCTGCTCCCCTCTTCCCCCATTCTCCACCCTTCTCTCCACCCTTCCCTCCACCTCTCTTGCAGCTCTCCCTGTTCAAGTCAGAGCCGAGAAATTGCTCACGAGCGCTCAAGCGCCTGGGCCACATCGACTTGGACGGAGTGGTGCAGCTGAAGGGCCGGGTGGCGTGTGTCGTCACTGCAGGCGACGAGCCGCTGGTGACGGAGCTCATGCTGGAGGGGGCGTTCAACTCCATAGACCCTCACCAGCTCGTGGCTGTTGCTAGTTGTTTTCTGCCCTCTGAGAAGTCGAATGAAGAGCAGGTGAGGAAGGGAGGCAATTTTTGAGGCCATGAGGAATAGGTGAGTGTTTTCAACCCCTACAAAGCTTGGGATTTGGTCCTTTTCTGGCTTGGATTTGGAGGCCATGGCATGTGTCGTCATGAGAGGCGATGAGTTGCTGGTGACAGAGCTGATGCTAGAGGGAGCTTTTAACTCCATGGACGCGCACCAGTTGGTTGTTGTTGCTAGCTGCTTCTTGCCTTCCGAAAAGTCAATTGAGGAGTAGGTGAGTGTCTGCTTCAGGCCAGACCATGAGGGCCAGGTGAGTGCTTTTCAGCCCCTGAAAAGCTGGGGATTGAGCCCTTTTTCTGGTATGAGTTTGGAGGCCATAGCATGGGATCTTTGGAAGGAACGGCATTGTTGCTAGCTGCTTCCTTCATTCCAAAGGCTTGTGTGAGAAAGTCGAATGAAGAGCAGGTGAGGGTGTGTGAGGCTTGTTCAGGTCATATGATGCAAGGAGGGACAGCAAAGGTGAGTGAGGCTGCTGGTGATGGAGCTGAGGCTGGAGGGGGCATTAAACTCCATGGATCCCCACCAGCTCGTGGTTGTTGCTAGTTGTTTTCTGCCCTCTGAGAAGTCGAATGAAGAGCAAGTGAGTGTCTGCTTCAGGAACAGGTTAGTGCTTTTTCCTGCCAAACCTCCCACCAAGCCTCCTATCAATCCTCCTCTCACCAAGCCTGACCCAACCCTCTAGACTCGAATCCTAGACTCCGTGCTCGATTCCCCCGAAAATATCAGATCATTCCGAGAAAGATTCGGCTGCATAGGGCGGGAAGGCAAGTGGGCCTACGATGACTCGCCGCGACTGCTGCCATGGCCGGACGAGATGAGCAAATGCGACGTGTGTCATTGGAATAAGAGCTCTCGCAACGTGGCATTACAAAACGCGCATCACTTGGTGGGACGGTTCAAGAAAGTTGTGACTCAAATAGAGGAGATTACTTGGGGAGGAAAGGAGGCTTCTAAGCAGCAGATGAGCAAATTGAAAAAACCAGAGAGACGGGATGATATTCTCAGGCAACAATGGGTTGTAAGAGAGACTCTTAAGTATTGGTGGGTGGTTCTAGGAAGCGACACAGAGCAGCAGGATGGGGAAACAGCAGAAGCTCACAGCAGCAGATGCGGCGGGCCTTGGGATCAGTTCTCCCCAGAAAAGTTCTGCAAATTTTTGGATCAGAGAAGCTTGCTTGTAGTGGGTGACTCAATTAACATGCTTTTGCCAAGTCCATCCGCAACAACATAAGGCTAGGCGCCAAGGACCAAGCCTCTCGGGTCCAATGGATAGAGCCGACTGGCTTCTGCCAGCGATACCGTGTCGTAGTAGAGAAATTAAAGAGACCTTAAAGTGCTGCTGGAGTGTTCACGCCTGCGCTGACCTCGGCTTTTTTGTCCGGATTTTCTTCGTCCGAGATTATTACCTCAACTCCACAGAATACGTGAATGAATTCTTGGTGGATAGGAGCTTTAACGAGACTTGGATGGATGAGATTGCTCCATTGAACGTGTCGATTGTTGTCATGAACCGAGGGGCTCATTACAGACCCGACCACAAGTTTAAGCGACAAGTGTTGTCTACTCTGGTGGCGCTCCGGAATACCCACCCAGAGCTGCTCATTATCGTCCGAAACACCCCTGCGGGGCACCCTGATTGCTGGCAGCATGACAAGCCACTTTCTGAGAAGTTTCTACGCATTCCACGAATCGACGGGTATCAGTGGGAGAAGTTTGGGCCGCAGAACGTGAGAAGAATAGAACGAGAATGGATGAACTATGAATGAAGTGAGTACATATAGGAAACCCTACTTGGGTTGTACCCCCTATGGGATACCCCACTATAGCCTACACAATAGCATAAGCTATATAAAGTTCTGACACACCCCCATTGGCAAAGTGGGGGAGAACAAGGGGTCACAAGACCAGTCAAGCAAAGCAGAGCAAGCTCAGGGTGGATCACAAAGTCACCACACAGTCCGAGAACAATGACAAGGCCACAAGGCCAGTTCACATGCAGGAGTACACATACATATAAAGAGCTAGACAAGCAAGAGCAGGTATATATATGTGACAGTACAAGTAAGGTCAAGAGGAGAGCAAGTGAGGCAAGACAGGTACAAGACCCAGCTGAGTGCAGAAGCGCTAATGATCACAAGGCGCGAGTGCCTTGGTGAACACGCCAGCAGTGTTGGCCTCAGAGGCCACGTACGCAAGCCGCAACTGTCCACGCTGCTGTAGCTCACGAGCAAGGAAGTAGCGAAGAGCAATGTGCTTCGTTCTGTGCTCCCGGCGCTGCTCTCGACACAAGGTCAGCATGGCCTTGTTGTCTACGTAGAGCACTGGAGGAGAACGAGGCGGCTCTCCAAGGTCACTCAGCAGGTAGGTGAGCCAGCGAAGCTCCTGTGCAGCCATGGCCCCTGCGTAGATCTCAGCCTCACAACTGGACCCGAGGACAGAAGACGAGCGAGTAGCCCGCCACGAGACAGAGCCGGAACCAAGACTGAAGGTGTAACCCTACGACGACCGCTGCGTAGCCTGGTCGTCAGCCGAAGAAGCGTCCGCGTGCCCCGTAAGGACCACTGGACTCCGCCCTCCAAGCACTAGCCCCATGCCCGACGTACTGCACAGGTAGCGCAACACCCTCTTCGCTGCAGCCATGTGCTCTGGTCGGTGTCTCCCAGGAGCAACATAGCGTGCAAGAACGCTAAGAGGGTATGCAAGGTCAGGTCGTGTGCAGGTCATCAGGTACATGAGGCAGCCAACAAGCTCTGGGTACGGGCCACTCGACTCTACGGACTCATCCGAAGGCAGAGCTGAGAGCGAGTGGCGAGTAGACAGAGGAGTGGCCTGAGGCAAGGATTACGTGAAGCCGAAGCGCTGAAGGACCTGCTGCACCATGTGTGAGTGAGTCAAGGTAATGGTGCGGCGTGCTGTGTCCCGAGTGATCTGCAAGCAAAAATAGCTGCGCAATTCACCCAGGTCTGTGCACGTGTGTCTCTTCAGCAGCTCGGATTTCACGTCGGAGAGTCTAGCAGTGTCCGCTGTGGCAAAGAACAAGTTGTCGATGTACACGAGGATGTAGAACGGCGGCACAGAAGTGTCGGTGCGCAGAAATAGCGACGGGTCACCAGTAGAGGGAGCAAACCCAAGAGCCGCAAGCGTAGTCCTCAGTGTGTCGTGCCACTTACGCGGTGCCTGGCGGAGACCGTAGACTGGCCGTCGGAGGCTCCACTGGGTGCCGGGAGGGAAAGTCCCAGTGAAGCCAGGTGGACGGCGCAGCCAGATCTCCTCGTGCATGCTACCCTGCAAGAACGCAGTGCTGAAGTCAAGAGAGTGAAGCTCGTAGTCGCGCTAAGCGGCTATGTGCAGCAGCACCCGAAGAGTGGTCATCTTCGGGGTGGGAGAGAATGTTTGAAAGTAGTCAACTCCCTGCCGCTGACTGAAGCCACGAGCGACGTACCGCGCCTTGAAGACAGGTGGAGAGCCCGGCGGCCGCTTCACCCTGAAGATCCACATGCCACTGACGATGTTCGCCCCAGGAGGGGGAACCGCGTCAACGTAGGTGCCTGTGGACTTCCAGGAAGCCATCTCTGCATCCATAGCTGCCTGCCACTGAGAGGAGTAGGGACCCTCTACAGCCTCCGCGTAAGAGCGCGGAGTCGGGATGTCTAGTGCATCCGGGTCTCCCTCAGGGGCAAGCACTACAGACACGAGATGAGGTAAGCAGTAGCCAGACACTAGAACTCCTCCTGCCTGTCCTCAAGGACGTCCGTGCCAAGAGCACACTCACCCCCGACGGACGGAGGATAGACAGACGCAGACTCAGCAACAAGGCTGGCAGCGTAGTCTAGACGACAGCGAGCAGAAAGTCGACGAGCTCAGCAACAAGCGCAGACGCAGCAGTGGACTCAAACGAGGGGTCAGTGACGACAATAGCAAGGAGACGCGTGACAGTAGGACTAGCAGCACAAAGAGAGTCTGACTCCGGGTCGGCAAGCGAAGGAAGAGAGGACGCATGAGGAGAAGGCAAAGGGGCACGCAGAGGAGCAGTGGACGGACGCAGAGACATCCGGTGCGTGCCAGGGACAGGAGGAGGACGCTCACGCGAACCGCGACCACTAGCGCGAGCAGCACGAACAGGCGACGCGGGACGAGACGCAAGCTCACGACGCTCAGCAAGACCTCCAGTAGGACCAGTGTAAGGAGAGGGAGCAGGCAGTGGGGAGGCGGGCTCTAACTGTGACTGTGACTGGACAAGCGGTGGACACTCTACAGGAGGAGAAAGACTAAGAACCTGAGCAGGAGCGGAACGAAGTACAGCCGAGGCCGCGCGGGGACTCCAAACACAGCAGGGACAGCACCAGCACCCTCACCGGCAGCACCAGCGCCAACAGCACCTCCAGCGGCAGGACCTCCAGCAGCACCAGCAGCAGGACCACCGCCAGGACAGACAGCAGTAGTCTCAGCACCAACATCCTCAGCAGCTCCAGCTCCGGTAGGACCCGCAGGCCGAGCAGCTCCGGGACCGGCGGCACCAGCACCCTCAGCCGCCGAAGAAGCTGCAGCTCCAGCAACACGCCTCCAGCGGCGAGCAAACCACTCGCGCAGCTCCTGTGGAGAGAGTGGCTCCCGCCGAGACGGAGCACCCGGAGAACCTCTAGGCCCAGCACCGCCAGACACCACAAGGGGAGGTCCAGCGGTCGCAGGCTCCGCACCTGCAGGCTCAGCAGCCCCAGACGCAGCACCCCCAGGCTCAGCAGCTCCTGACGTAGCACCCCCAGGCTCAGCACCCCAAGGCTTAGCAACCCCAGGCTCAGCAGCTCCAAAAACAGCACCCCTAGGCTTAGCAACTCCTGACGTAGCACCCCCAGGCTCAGCACCCCCAGGCTCAGCACCCCCAGGCTCAGCAGCTCTAGACGCAGCACCCCCAGGCGCAGCAGCTCCTGACGTAGCACCCCCAGACTCAGGACCCCCAGGCTCAGCACCCGCAGCAGTACCAGAGTCACCAACAACCTCGACCGGCTCGACTGCGTCAACCTGGGACACACCTGAAGGGGCAGGACCCTGAGGGGGGAGGGGGTCTACCGGGGGGGGACCTGGTACAAGGAAGTGTGGCAGCGGGGAGAGGGAAGGGGACTGACTCGTCGAACGTGACGTCCTGGGAGGACAGAACAGGACGAGAGGAGGGGTGGTAGAACTGCCACCCTGGGGCGTCAGGGGGGAAGCCTAGGAATACACAGGGAGCAGCACGAGGGGACAGCTTGTCCGCAGACAAGTCGCGGACAAACGCCCGAGATCCCCAGACACGGAACGCAGAGGCATCGCCGACCTTCCCCGTCCACAGCAGAGCTGGGGAGGTCTCCGGCCGGGAGACCCTGGGGTGAAGGTTGTGCTGATGCGCCGCGTACCGAACCGCAAACGGCCACAGAAAATGGGGGGCAGCCACATGCATCATGGACGTACGAGCGACGTCCATGACCATGCCAATGCGGCGCTCAGCAATCCCATTTTGCTGTGGAGAGTCCGGAAGCGTAAAGGTCTGGCGGATGCCTCGTGCACGA